TACACACACACACACACACACACACACACACACACACACACACACACAAGCATGCGGGGCAACTGCCGTTTTTTTTTTTGGTACCGAATTCTTTTATTTTCTTTTTTTTTTGTCTTTTTTTTTGTTTTTTTTTATTTTTTTTAAATCCTCTTTAAGTCCAAAAAATAGAAAAAACAAATATGGCGTTTTAGATCTCGAAAAGATCTACAACCCCATATTTTTAGTTTTTTTTTTTTTTTTTTTTTTGGCCCTAAAACACCTTCGGAAAGCCGTCGTCCGTACGCCCGTACGACCGTCCGTCCGTCTGTCCGTGCAGGCCGTACGGAGACCCCCCGTACGAGGTACGGGCGACGACACTGGTTTAGGCCATGGTTAGATAAGTTTGTAGTAGTCTATTCTAGTTTTCAGTAAGACCCTCCAAGAGCACCAGGGTCATCTGAGGCAGGTCTTGGAGAAGCTTAGAGAGGCTAACTTCAAGATCAACGCGAAGAAGTGCGAGTGGGCCAAGACACAAGTCCTGTACTTGGGCCACGTATTAGACGAAGATGGCATCAAGCCAGAGGACAGTAAGATAGCGGCGATTAAAGATTGGTCAACGCCCCCCACAATGACAGAGTTGCGGTCGTTCCTAGGCTTATAGCTAACTACTATAGGAAGTTCGTGAGGATTGTGTATCTTTTTAACGCATAACGGGGGAATCAAACTCCCGTTGAATCCCGTTAAATTCGCGTTAAATGTGAAAATGGGCCGCTCCCGCGCTTTTCGGAAAAACGGAATTGATGCGCGGGGTCCGGAACACGTGGCCCTAGGCAAAAAAATAATAATAATAAAAAAAAATAATAATAATAAAAAATCCCTCCAACCCCTGAAGCACCTCCCATCCGCCCCCACATCCCCCAATCCCCAACGCCCCAGTTATGTGTGTGTAGGTGACAGTATGTTGTGTGTGCGCATATCTGTGTATGTGTGTGTCTGTCGTGAGAGTGTGTTTGTGCATGAATATGAATGTATGCGTGTGTGTTTGTGTATGTGTGTGTTTGTAAGTGTGTGTGTGTGTGTCACAGTGTCTGTGCTTGTAAGTGTATGTGTGTTTGTAAGTGTGTGTGTGTATGTGTATGTGTATGTGTGTGTTTGTGTATGTGTGTGTTTGTAAGTGTGTGTGTATGTGTGTGTTTGTAAGTGTGTGTGTGTGTAAGTGTAAGTGCGCCTGTGCCTGCGCGCGAGAGTGTGTCTCGCATTACTCACACCCTCATTCCCCAACACACAGATTCCACTTGCACCCAAGGACCACCCTGTGCCACACCCAGCTTACAGCAGCGCAGCTCGGCTATGGCTGCCTGCTCCTTCCCGCTCGCCCGTGAGCGCGTGAGTGCCAGCGAGCTACAGCGCGGCAGCGCTTACGCAGCATGCAGCCAGCACCCGAATGCCCAATGTGGAGGCAGGCCCTTTGCTATATCGAAGTGGCCTGCCTGTGTTCAGTCCCAGGAAGCTTCCAGTAGGCTCCCGTAGCCTGAGGCACAACACGAACGAGAACAGGCCTTGGGCCTGAGGCGGTTGCATGCCCCCAACTGCCTTTGGCCTGTGTTTGGCCCAGTACCCGTATCCAGCCCAGAGCCTGCTTTCCATACATTCACACAGGCGGCTCGGGGCCTGGGTTCCCTCAACCAACTGACGTCGGACTCATGCAATATGCTACAGGCCCAATTTTGTGTGTGTGTGTGTCTTTTTTTCCTTTTTTTAATTTGCTTCTTATGGTTTTGATTTTTTTTTAAATACACGAAGTTCCAAAAAAATAAAATAAAAAATAAATTGTTGTACATCTTTGAAAGATCTACAACCCTATATTTTTTATTTGTTTTTTTTTTTTTTGTTTTAGCCCTTAAAAAATTTGTGTGAAACCCAAAACAAAAACACTCATTTCATTTTACTTTTTATTTTTTCATTGTGTGTTTATGTTTTTGATTTTTTTAAAATAGATTTAAGCATCAAAAAATAAAAATAAAAATACAGGGTTGCATTCCTCAAAAAAACCTACAACCCCATATTTTTGTTTTGTTTTTTTTGATAATGTTTAGCGTAGGAAACAAATCATCCCGGACCCCGTTAATTCGCGTCCAACTCACATTTGAACGGGAGTTTAACGCGAATTCAACGCGCATTGAATTTTTCAACGCGGAACCCGCGTTGAATTCAAAATCGGACACACAGCGTGAGAAACTTCTCCACTATCGCTGCTCCCTTGCGCAAACTGCTAAAGAAAGAGGCAATCTGGCAATGGGACAAAGATTGTACATCTGCACTAAAGAGATTGAAGCGCGCACTGATAGAATATCCTGTCCTCAAAGTTGCAGATCCGTCCTTGCCATTTGTCGTCACCACGGACGCAAGTCAGTATGGAATAGGCGCCATGTTACAACAGGGCGACGGCCATGGTTATAGACCCGTAGAGTTAATGTCCGCGACGATGCCCTCAGAGAAGGTAGCCACCTCGACGTACGAGAGAGAACTCTACGCTCTCACGCAGGCTCTAGAGCATTGGAAGCATTACCTGCTTGGGAGGCACTTCAAAGTATATTCCGACCATGAAACGCTTAGATGGTTAAAGACCCAGGCCAAGGTGACACCTAAGTTGACTAGGTGGGCCGCAGAGATGCAGAGGCACGTACAAATTTAGTGATACAGAAGTTCTTTGACTTTTGGGTTAGCGAGAA